GAAACATTTTACACTATGATTCAATTTAAGAGCTTGTCTCACAGAAAACCATGCAAAATTTAATGTAAATAGTGCATCCACCATAAGGTAGCAACATTAACAGCTTGGAGTCCATTTTAAATGTTGATCCATAGTTTATCCATAATGAGATCACAAACCTTGTTGGTTTGCTGTCTAATTGTCTCATACTCCCAGTTTCTTTATTGACTTTGCAAAGACAAAATGTTCTTGACATTTTAATGTCCATGCTTTACATAGTCAGAGGTATACAAGTGTGCTCTTTGACATTTTGTGTTTATACTACTTTTGGCTTAAGAATTCAGCATGAATTTTAAAGTGAATGTCAACAAGTTCATGGATAAGTAGACATTTTCCTTCATATGACAAGAATTAATGTTATGCATCATTCTTAAATCCATCTAACATGTCCCTTTATTCCTCTAGGGTCTACTGACAAGCAGTGAGACAGGATTCCAGGTTATTAGAATTTTCAAAACTTTTTATCATGTCATGTACTATTACACCATAATCTGTACATGTTTTAACAACTTTTCATGCAACTGATCAGATATAGTTTAATTTCACCAAGAGTTATTTTACTCAACATTGCTTTTAAGGTGACAGAGCTCAATTTAGGTAATTAACCTTTCCTTTAGCTAAGATTGACACGAGGAACATTGGTTTCAACACTTGACATTTTTTAAATGTCTTGAAAACATAAAATAGAAAAAGAAAAGTTATATGGAAATTGGTTAACACATAAGTGGTTTATGCTGTAAATACAAGTTGATGTAGTAATGGAGTATAAATAAAAAATGATACAATTTTTTCATAACTTTGCAAGAATGTGATATGTTCATCCATATAATGAAAATGATTGGTCACCATTAGCTTGTTTTCAAGCTACAGGTTGTGAAAAAATAATACATTTTTATGGATTCTACAGACTAAAAGCATCATTATGTGGATAGAAGTTAAACTAAATGAGAGAATTTTAAAATAAGATAATGAGAAGATAGCTGTTATAGAATGCTTTCAGAATATCAAAACTATAAAATATGAAAAATGGGGTCACTGTAAATTGATTCCTGCTATAACATAAAATAGAAATAAAAAAATTATATGTAGATTCCTAAATGAATTATATATTTTCTGAGTGACCTCCCCTTGATACAAAAATACTCTACCTTTATAAAATTATTAGTAACTTTAATATAAAATCACATAACTTTATTTAAATGAAAACTCTTAATTGGTAAATTGCATTTCTGCATCTAAATTTGCTGACTTGATTGAAAATCTAGACCTATTGTGTTCTGCTATTTTACTGTACTTTTAAAGAATTATCCTTTATTATTGAAAAATCTGCTTGGATGTTTCATGTTAGCATGCTCCCCTTGTATGCAGAAGGTTTTGTGTTCAGACCAAATAATAGTTCATTGCAGCTTTTCCTGTAAGCAAGCATCATTAGATGTTAGAGCAAGAACTGGTCTGTGGGAAATCAGAAAGTTGTGTCTGGTTGAGGTGACATGTCCTCCTGTGTCCTCCTGTGAACAGATAACTGTTGAGTTATCATTTGAAGTCAATATGTTTGTCTGGTACAAAGCAGAGTAAAACTTGTTGACACTAACACATTGTCTCCCTTAATATGCAAATTCACCTTCAGTTATCAGAAATTGAAAAAAAGTTCAGAGTTCACACCACTTGTAGTTGTGCACCTCCATATTCATTTTTGATCAAATTGATTAATGGTTATCCATGCCTTTTTACATATGAGAAATGCTGTCCACACAAATCACCTGCAGTTTACATTGGAAACTTAGCAAAATTTAATTAATCTTTATCACATGTGAAGTTTTATGGAGGTCAGATTTTTTATTTATATTTACTATCCTCGGTACTTCAGACAGATGGGAACAGGGGAGACATCTGTTTTTGTGTTAAAAGCAAACTTAAAACCTGTTGATGGCAGATCTTTGATAATTTCTATTGAATTTATTTACAAGTTTTCTAGGATCAGTGCCATTTAGGGCACTTGCCATATTGAACAGACATATGTTTATTGTTGAATACTGTATGTTGACCTCTGAATGTCTTTTGATTATTTGTGTAGTTGATTGCTGTCTCATTGACAATTTTACTGAATGCAAACTTGGGTATATGTTATCACATCACCTGATTCTAGTTCTATTCAGTATCAGTTACTTGTGTTAGTGGTATCTGTTATCACATCACCTGATTCTAGTTCTATTAGGTATCAGTTACTTGTGTTAGTGGTATCTGTAATCACATCACCTGACTAGTTCTATTCAGTATCAGTTACTTGTTTTAGTGATATCTGTTATCACATAACCTGATTCTAGTTCTATTATATATCTGTTACTTGAAGTAGTGGTATCTGTATTCACATCACCTGATTCTAGTTCTATCCAGTATCAGTTACTTGTGTTAGTGGTATCTGTAATCACATCACCTGACTCTAGTTTTATTCAGTATCAGTTACTTTGTTAGTGATATCTGTTTTCACATAATCTGACTCTAGTTCTATTCAGTTACAGTTTCTTGTGTTAGTGGTATCTGTAATCACATCACCTGACTAGTTCTATCCAGTATTAGTTACTTTTGTTAGTGGTATCTGTTATCACATCACTGGATTCTAGCTGTATTCTCTAGTTCTATCCAGTATTAGTTACTTTTGTTAGTGGTATCTGTTATCACATCACCTGACTCTAGTTCTATCCAGAATCAGTTACTTGTGTTAGTGGTATCTGTTATCACATCACCTGATTCTAGTTATATTATGTATCAGTTACTTTAAGTAGTGGTATCTGTAATCACATCACCTGATTCTAGTTCCATCCAGCATCAATTACTTGAATTAGTGGTATCTGTAATCACATCACCTGACTAGTTCTATCCAGTATTAGTTACTTTTGTTAGTGGTATCTGTTATCACATCACTGGATTCTAGCTGTATTCTCTAGTTCTATCCAGTATTAGTTACTTTTGTTAGTGGTATCTGTTATCACATCACCTGACTCTAGTTCTATCCAGAATCAGTTACTTTTGTTAGTGGTATCTGTTATCACATCACCTGACTCTAGTTCTATCCAGTACTAGTTACTTTTGTTAGTAGTATCACATCACCTGATTCTAGTTCTATTCAGAATCAGTTCCTTGTGTTAGTGGTATCTGTTATCACATCACCTGATTCTAGTTATATTATGTATCAGTTACTTTAAGTAGTGGTATCTGTAATCACATCACCTGATTCTAGTTCCATCCAGCATCAATTACTTGAATTAGTGGTATCTGTAATCACATCACCTGATTCTAGTTCTATCCAGTATTAGTTACTTGTGTTGGTATCTGCTATCACATCACCTGACTCTAGTTCTATTCAGTTATAGTTACTTGTGTTAGTGGTATCTGTAATCATATCACCTGACTAGTTCTATTCAGTATCAGATTCTAGTTCTAATCATTATCAGTTATTTTTGATAGTGTTATCTGTTATCACATGACTTGATTCTAGTTCTATTCAGTATCAGTTACTTTTGTTAGTGGTATCTGTAATCACATGACTTGATTCTAGTTCTAATCATTATCAGTTACTTTTGTTAGTGGTATCTGTTATCACATGACCTAATTCTAGTTCTATTCAGTATCAGTTACTTTTGTTAGTGGTGTATGTTTTCACTACATCACCTGATTCTAGTTTTATTCAGTTTCTGAGTTCCTTGTGTTATTTTGGCAACGAGTGCTCTGAATTGTTCAGCCTATAGACCTGAGGTCTGTACTTTTCCAAAGGCCCTGTTTCAATGGTTACATTAAAAATAGCCCAAGATAACTCTTCAGATCTGTTTGATTTCCTTAGAAAAGTTAGGTTTAATAGACTAGTTAAATAAATAAATTTACAGTTCAAGGTTTCAGTTGGCCATATTGCTCAATGTCAATTAAACAGATTTTGAGTTGGTCAGATGTTTTGGAAATTAAACAACTTCATGAAGAATGACAGTAGAAGAAATATAGGAAAATGTGGATGTGGATTCTTGGAATTTATAATGTTTAATTTGTTTTATGGGAAAAATTTCTATGCTCCACAATTTTGAAGTCCTCTGAATGAACTCTTCATCTATGAGAATTTTTTTATAAGCCAAAAAAAAAGGAATGATGTAAATGCCATCAAAGAGACAACAACCTGCACTGGAAGTGTCATTAATGAAAAATGCTCATAGCCAAACTTAAAAAAAAAAATTTTAAACATCAATTAGACAGCATTGTTACCCTTCATTCCCCACTGGGATTGTCTTTAAGATGAGATATGTTTGTATGAAAACTAAGAGAGAAATGGTGTTAATGCATATTTAAAGAACAACAACAAATGAATATCCATTATCTCTGGGTACAGGTGCTAGGAGGATACTGAAAAGTAGTTCCTGTGTAACGTAGCATGCTTTGAACTAGCTAGATTGTTCCATTTTTTTTAAGTCTACATGCAGTAAAGAGACTAAAAATCGAAGAACTAGCTTAACCTTACATCCCAAACAAGGAAAAATGTCTGTATATGTCTGGGGATATATATTGTCTTGTACAAGACTTAAGATATACAATGATAGTCTAGAACCATTTGTAAGACAGGGAAACCCATAGAAAAAATCCAAAATGATTAATTGCAAAATGTGTAATTTCCAGCATTTTTTACAGGATTTGCTTTTTTTCTTTGTTTTGGACACAGCTGGAGAAACTCAAGCTTTAATTTTGTGTTTTCTGAACTGTCATAATTTTAGTTGAATGATTGTGCTGGGATGGTTTAAATTCAAATCAACATTAGTAATTGGATTTCTCAAGAAATTTATAAACCATAATATTCTGTTTGGATGGAAGTCAAATTTATTGCAGAAGCAATATTCTGCTGGGATGAAATTCAAAATAAAGTACTCTATTGTAAAATTTATTGTCCAATAATTTAGGTAATTTGAATTTTAAATTTGTTTAAGGATTATTCCATGGAAAAATGCCACTTTTAGAAATAAAACAAAGGCCATCTGGGCATATTGGTTTGAACTTAGATAACGAGAAAGACTGGAAGACATTTAAGGAGATAATAAAGGTATATTTACATCAAGAGCAGGAATTGATGAAATTGTTTCTTTGCCTAGAAAGCTGTGAGATAATTTACAAATGATTTAAATTTAAAAGAAATAATACATTTGTTAAAAAAGAGATTGATACAAGAACATGGAAGTAAACATTTTTTTTTATCTTTACTCAGTATTAATATTTTATCAGTTATTTTTTCTTTTTAAAATGTTTTTTTTTCCAAGTAATTCTAGACAATGGTAACAAGTAATATAAGATGACAATTTTGAAAGGGGATGGAGGTGTTTTCAGAAATTTCAAAAATATTTTATAATTTTTGAATAATTCTATTTCAAAGCAAAATTGTCTCAGTACAGTAGGCTCTGATTGTATCAGTTGTTGGTATACACATATCTTAAAGAATCAAAATGTAGAGGACATTATCAAATTAAACACATCAAAAGTAAAGTAACTCATTCAGAACAACAGATGTATATATATATATATATATATATATAAGTCTGAAAATTACACCCAACAGTGTTAGAATTAGACTTTTATGCTGACAAATTTTTGTCCCTCAACGGATTCGAACTCACACCTTTGATACACTACAGCACCAATCGCTTAGCCTCATGTCCAGTGCTCTAGACCACACGACCACATCCGCTATATAAAAATATAACTTCAATAGTCGTAGTGTTACCTTGTCACGTAAGGCGAATCTAGAGATAGACATAAGACATGTGTTTTAAGCGTGTGAAGATGTTATATATATATATACTTAAAAAAAACAAAACGGATACAGATAAACAAAAACAGATATATACAAAAAGCACAGAAACAGGCATACAGACCAAAAACTTAGGTTTATACTAAGAGCAAAGAGGCAGGCAATCAGATCAATACAAAAAGCAAAAAGGAAGGCAAGCAGAACACCAAAAACAGAGCAATACAAAGAGCAAAAAGGCAGGCAAGCAGAACAACAAAGCCAACTCTAAAATAATTACTATGTACATGTTTCACCTGAACCACAAAGAAGTTTTCAATATGCAAAAACCGAATGCTCTACTTGTTTGAAATAAGACATTAGAAAATAAATGACACAATAACTAATTACATAATATTTATATTGTTTATATTATATAATGCATGCTCATATTGATTTATATTGTTATATATATTGTGGAGAAGACTTCATAAGTATGTTTTACTTGTGTCTGATCCTTTTTGCTTTGAGTGAATATGATATGTTTAAACTAAAAAATCAACTACGTGCTTTAAAATCTGGAATCAGAAATATTTAAGACAAAAAAAAAACATTGTAAATAGTGATATGCCTAGCTGTATTTACTGCATGGAGCCTCATGTTATTGTTTGTTTAGTAGAGCATGATTTTTAATGAAATCTACAAAATGAAATCTAAAAAATATTTATATTGGCTATTGATATCAGTTAACATACCAAACATTAATTACATTGAAATAATCTTGTAATTTATCTACAAATTCTATGTTCAATATGGATTTTTCAGACTTAAAAGAATGGAAAAAATATTTCCTTTTAAACTTTAGAGGTAGCCAATCCTGAATACTCCAAGATATCGTGCTGATTTTGAAAATTAATTATTCTTCAATTCTATAAAAGCGAACATGGTTGCAAGGATTTGATTGAAGAATGTGTATTTAACTATGAATTAATAAAGAAATCAATATTAAAATCCTGTAATTACAGGTTCAGGTATTTTAAAGGTGATAATTGCAGTGGTAGTGGATGCTAGCTGAATAAATTGCCAAGAAAAAAAGTCATGCTTTTTTCAAATTAAAAAAGCAATCTATTTTTTTCTTCATGCAAATCAGGTGTTTTTGTGGGCAATCAAGGTGCTTTTAATGTTTGTTTTAACCCAAATGAAATTTTAATGATCTGTGTTCAGTGCTACTGATCTTTAACTTTCCTTGTATTTACCATTAAAACAAGACAAAGTGAATCCTTTATGTTTGTCAGAAGCTTCCCTCCAGTTCTATATCACTCTTTTCTATAATCTGACCTTTGAAATGGATGACCCTGTCACAATGTCTAATAGGAATTTAGAAATATGTAAGTACTGGCAGTAACAAAGTTGGACGAATTTTGATAGGGTAGGCCTCCACCCATATAAAGTGACATCTCTCACCAGAGGCTGCCTTTACCTCACACTCAAATTCTCTTTAATATGTGGTCTGTATGATCATTAACTTACATTGTTTGATTTAATTTTACTTATCCTTTAGAGTTTTTTAAAACAAAGTTAAAGGCATTTTTTTTGGGTGAAATTCTGATAAATTGTGATACAAGTCTATTGCATATAATTTGTGAATGAACTTTTGGAGAAGTGAAGGGACACCAGTATCAGAAATTTATAAGTTGTAAATAAAATTTAAAAGAAACGGTCAAGATGCACATTTGTCAAAAAACTCTAGGAAGTAACCAAACACTTCAGAGGTACAGTCCTATAATTGCTGTTCTTCAACCAGTCAGTTACTGGAATAGATTCTGTGATGAATTAAAGGCTATTATAACACATAAGAAGTAGATCACACGAGTCCCTGTTATCAACTTCACATTGTTAAATTGTTCCCTACAAGGCTTAATTAAATTTCTTTTTTAGATGGAATTTTACTTGCATGTTTATCTTTGTTGAAGGTTTACCATACACCATTCTAAACAAAAGTCTTTAAAAAGTGACTTTTCCCCATGATTGTTTTGCTACTCATAAAATGAGCCTTCTAAACCCCCATCGTAATCAATGATAAAGTTTTCAAAAAAAAGATTAGTTCAATCCCTTTCCATCGAAAATTTTTGAAATTGTATGGTGGTAGAAAAGTAAATTAAGTGCTTTCTTCAATGAATGTTTTATTTCTTCTGTTTTATGTTGAAATGGTTTTTGTGAGAATAATTGTGGTCAGTGAAGAAATGGTTATGACTTGTGTATGACCAGTATAATAGGGTATCCTGCTGGGAGGCATCATGTTTACTCTCCAAGACTCAAGTAGCCAGGGATGTTACTTCTTTGTTGAAAAGTTATTAAATATGATTTAGACATATTCAAGAATTAAACCATGTGACAGATTATGCATATTGATTAGCTGGACACAATGTGTGGTCTTCTATCAGAAATTTGACCTTTTTTATTGTGATTTATCATTCAAAAAATGTAAATTGAATATGATTTAATTAAATCTAAGATAAGAATTTACAAGGTCATATGCAGAGTTAAAGTTGTTAGGGCTTGGTAACACTGTCCTTGTTCTGGTCATATCAATCTGCACTTAAAAAGTCTTAACCATTGTCAAATACCTGATAACAAGTGACTCTATGTACTTCAATCCAGTTCTTAAATCACATCCTTTTATTAAGTCATCTTAGATAAAGGTTTCTTTTGAAGTGAGACAGTCTTAACAGTGGCGGATCGAGAACTTTTCATAAGGGGGGGCCCGCTGGCTGACCTAAGGGGGGCCCGCTCCAGTCATGCTTCAGTGATTCCCTATATAATCAACCAAATTTTTCCCACAAAAGGGGGGGGGGCCTGAGGGCCCCCCTGGATCCGCCTATGCTTAACCTAAGTCTTTATTGAAAAGTATTGCTCTGGAATCTCTATCTTATATTTAGATTTCCTGCAGAAGGCTGGTGGTTCTCACTGTGAGCCTCCTCCACAAATATAAATTGGCCGCCATGATATTGCCAAGTCTTCTGAAAGTGGCATTAAACATCACCAATTAATCAATTGTTATATCTAGAATTCTAGATTGCTATGAATCAAAAGAGTACTGATATACTGTCAGCTACAAATATTACTAGAGGTTAAAGTTCATACAAAAATTAGGTCACCTTGATCTAGGATTGCATCTGATATAAAGTTCTGGCAATGTCCATATCTAAGCAGACTACTGAAAGTCATACAGTAATGAACATCTTACAGAAGGTTCATGTAATCCTTTGAGAAAGTGTCACACTAACCAACATTCTATGCAAGAGCCATTTAATGATTTAGTTTTGTGTTATATTAAGGTCAGATCTCAGTATTTATACTTTTTGAGCAATTTTATGTACCACAGAATAATAGCATAACTACCCAATATTGACAACTCACCAATTTCCTTTCTTCGTAAGATTATTTTTTAAATTACCTTGTTTCATATTATTTTGCATCCAAAACTGTTTATTTTTTTAATTGCTCAAATAAAGTGTTGAAATTATTTAAAGAAGAACATTTTTTTCCATATCTTATGAATGATGGAAGCCATTAACACTATCCAGAGGATCCCCAGAAACAAACTATTCATGGTTTATTAAAGAGAGACTGTGAAAGAAGGCATTATTTTCCCATTTTGAAAAAAAGCTATGTCCAGTCATCTGAAGAAATCTAATAATGTTGAAAAATTGGTGTATGGTATTGAGATATTGAATCAACAGTTTGGACAAGTAGATAAACATGAATCTGATTAAGGTCAGACTGATTTAATTAATTTTAATTGACCACATACATAGATTAGATTGGGGGCATACTCCCAGTGGAATGTATCAGCATTGGCACAAATTCACCAATATATTACTAAGATATCAAAACTTTTATGTCCAGTTTGAGGGGTTCTGCTTGGGGAAAGGGTATCAAAAGTAACTATTAGTATTTGAGGTTGGTCACAAACTTTTGAAAGTATAATCTCTTATATCAGTTATATGTGTAGAGTATTATTCACAAGAAATTCAGAGTTTTTTTAAATGTATTTTTTTTTTGTAAATTCAATATGATGTATATTGAAAGTCTATGCATTTGGCATTGTGGAGGTGTTGAAAAGAGTTATATAAGCTGGAGGCGAGGAGAAGGGCATGAATATTGCGGAGGCAGAGGTAAAGAGGGGAGAAAGTAAAAAAGGAAATACCAGAAAAAAAGAGGAACAGATATATCTGTGGTAATCCAGGAGAACAAAGGGATATTGAAAAAAGAATGGGAAAGAGTGGAAGGGGAGAATGAGTTAAAGAAAAGAGGAGAAAAGAAAGTCTCCCCTACATGTGTCTAATCGTGTCTAATCAAATTTTTGTATACTTGAATTCTTTCAAGCAGTGTTTTAGTAAGTTCTTGGAAAGGGAAACACCTTGAAAGATCTACACAGAAAATTTTTGAAACCACTAGAAAAGCCATATGTTTTCTTATGGGTCAATGTCTTTAATCATTCATTTCTGATATGTATTACTTGTGTCCTTTAGGTAAAAACTATTCACAGTGTTATTAAGTAGGTATATGTTTTATATTACATAAACACATACTTTCAATTTTTAAAAGATGAGAAAACCTTCGGGTACCCCAGAAAGATTTTCTGGACATGTTGTATCAAAACTTTCATCAATGCAAGCTGGAATTCAGTGTTTATGTAAATAAATCTGCCTCTTCTTTGTTAACTACACTTAATTAGTTAAGAAAATTTGTTAATTACTGTACTTATATCATTGTATATCAATCAGTATTGTGCCAGACTAATTTGTTTGGACACATGGGATGGTCAGTAACAGTACAGCTACTGGTCAAATTTATTTTTACTTGACCTTGGGCCAATTTTTTTCTTTTAAACATGTTTGATAAAAGATGATACAGTTTAACATAAATAATATCTTGTTGTAGGCGGATTTTCTTTGAGACAGGGATCTAATGCTATCTTAAGCTATGTTAAGAAGGTGTTACCTAGTTTACTTGCTTACTTCAATTATTTAAGAAAAAACTGACTGCTAGAAACTTCACAAAACATCTCTGTAGAAAGATAGCTAAATCAAAACAATAGGATACCTTACAATTTGCAGTTCCATCATATACAGAAGTATTTGAGCACAGTTAAACATGGAATGACAAAGCATCTTTCCCTTTACATACTTGATCATTGAAAAAAACACATGGGAAGCCATTAATAAGACTTGATGTCCAGTGTATATACTGGTAAACAAATTTGAGCTTATGAAATTTTGATTAATGAACTCAATTACACTTATGAAGGAATTTGTAGCTTTTGAAATATCTGACCCTAAACAAAGAAGTTATGGAGACCTGCACAGAACCTTGAAATCATGGCTACTTTTCAATCTCTTCTCATATTTTACATTGTTTTTTATATTTTTTATAGTGCGTTTCCTAAGGCATCATTATCCATATGGCTGTGCATCTTTCTTAATGCAAGACAACACTGCTAGTAAAACTAGAGAGCACTAAAGACTTTTCCACTTTCTTAAGGTATGTATATTTCTTAAGGCTGCAAAGAATACCTGAATCACAAAAGATACAGCTTGCCATGATGTTAAAGACAGATGTCTATACCAATAATCATCCATTATATTACAAGTAACCAAAAAAAAATATGCTGTCCAAAAATTGAGGTCTTCAAATTCTTTACAGATTTATGTAAAAAAAAAATCTCTGCATTATTATATTTTCCTTTAGCTTTCTGGTAGATTCTGTTAACCAGAATTTATGCTTGACACAGTATTATTGTATATGCCAGTGCAGTAATCGTTTAAGTCATATGACAAAATTGATACATACGTAAACTATTACGTAAGTATTTACGTCTTAGAACTATTTCTTTAAAACTAACATGAGATTTGACAAAATAATAAAAGAAAATTAAACTCTGGAAGTCATTTTCTGTAATTGTTAGCAACTGTTTGTAGTAAAATTTTATGTAACTACAATAATTGAAGCTGCATCTGATGTGAGGACAGTTTTGATTATAAACTGATTATTTTCTGTAGAGGCAGTTTCAGTGCATTGTCCTTGTCACTCACTAAAGTATAAGTGTCTTTGAAGTAAAAACTTTGAGAGGTTGAATTCGTCCAAATCCCTTCTGTCTTTTTCACTGTAAAGAACTCTCAAACACCTCTTCATCTTTGCTTAGGGATGATAAATGGAAGATTTATAAGTAGAGTGTTTCTTTTTATTTTGTTATTAAAGTACCCCTAAAATTATATTAAAAAGCCATTAACACAACAAAAATCTGAAATGGTACCTATTAAAATCACAACTTGATTATAAGATTTTTTGGGGACATATTGATTGTTTCTCAAAAAACATGTGTAATTGTTTTTTCCCCATTTTTATGGAGTAAAATAAATTAGATTTTTATGTCTCACAAATAAAAGTTCTTGACTATTGACGTTTCAAATCAAAATTTGGTAATTTGATTAATAAATAAAAGAGAAGAAATAATTAGTTTTAAGCAAAGTTTGGACAACTTTAATTTGCTTTCATGGTCTAAAAGTAAAGAAATAAAGTTTCAATTAATTAAGTAGAAGTACTCAAGTCTAGACATAAAACAATGTGAATGTCAGTCAGATCTTCAAGAAAATTTTCTAATGGAATCAAGCTTTTCAAGTGTTCAGATTTTAAAGTTTAAGAGAATTAGAAGAGGTTTAATTGTTTCTAGCCATTGTTTCCTCTTAAGGCAATATCTTTCTCAGCTTTATGGTACTTCAAATGGATTGTGTGATTTCTAGACACAATTAGGAAATGCTAGGCCTTCCATTAAATTACCAGAAGAATTAAAATTGCCTGAAATCATTAAACATATATTAGTTGCTTTTGTGCTCAATAAAATATGGGTTGGTTTCAAAATGGTTGTATTTTACATTTTGATTGAAAACTCGTGACATAATATGCCACTTTCTTTGTGTTAATTGTGGTCTATTTCATGTAATGTCACAAGTATGACATAAGAATAACACATACTTGGCTGTTGGGTTGCTTATGTTTGACTTATTTTTTTTATAAAAAGTTATTATGTCATATTCAATGAGACAGCAAACCAATGACTCCAATACTTAAAACGCTTCTTGAAGTCAACATGCAGCCTTTAACAATAGATAAGTGTCGGTACAATATGTCAAGTTCTAAAAAGCCCAGAGTATAGTACAGCTATAAACAAATTTTTCAAAGATCTCCCATCAGCACCATTTCACTAAAGATGAATACATTTAATTCTATTCATAACTAAAGAACACCACTCATAGGGTTTTTGGTCTGGAAAAGGCTCACAAATATGTGGTTGAGTTAAAATGGTTTTAAAATCACAGTCCTCCCCCATTTAATCTCAGTCAGTTGAAAAATGAAATGTGCAAAACAAAAAATACAATATAAAATTGGTGTAGGAAAAGCATACAGGTAAAGACACAACAAAAATTCTGGAACAGGCAAATATATAAGGAATGATATTATATCAAAGAAGAGTAGTATGTACTGAAAGCATTTCAAATTTGTAGAGACCACTTAATTTTGTAGCTATTATTTGAAATGTCATGATAAATTTTTTTCAACTGTTGTTTTCACAATTTTAGGAAATCTAATGTCAACTTTGGTGTAATGTTATGACTAATATTTATTTAGATTGGTTTTTTTTCTGCTATTTATCATTAGTTTAAATGCTTAGAATTGGACATGTTATTCATTAATGAGTTAACTGATGTCATGACATTTGATAATGTGAACTGATACAGGTCTTTGTCTTTACCTAGTTTGTGATGTACAGTACATACAGTTTACAAACTCTCTTGCTATTGTGTTTTATTTCTTCAAGGACTGGTGGTCCGAAAGATATAGGTTAGCTAAGGAAAACCTTGGAATAAAAGAGGATAAAAAATGATACTTAAATTAGAATTTTAAAAGCTTTTGAATTGTTTACAATTCATCATAGTCAGTTAGATGTAAATGTGAATATAATGATAAAAAATAACATTTTAAGTATTTGAAGTATTTTGAAGTATTAAAAAAATCCAAACAGTCAACATTCATCAAGGTCGTCTTACTGTTAGAACTCCACTTTGACAGGACAGATTTTTTTCTCTGTCTGGTCGTTCATTGTCTCCACAATACCCTTCACACAATTTCTCTTATTGAATGTCTTTTACTTAATTGCTTTCATCTAATTTCTTTACTTAAAATAAATGGCTTCTTTGTTTGAAAGCAGTTAATTCCAAAGTGGTAATTTAGTATCTATAGTTAAATAAAGTATTGTGTTTGTGATCTCCCTTGAATGTATACCACACAGAAGTATCTATTGCTTTACCAATTCTGCGACATTTTGATGAACATCCAAGTTGAAATGACTCAAAACAATAAACATCATGTGAAATTTACATGATGCATGCAAAACAATAACTATATAAGTATTGTAATTCACACTGATGGACAGATGAAAAGGGGTTCCTATAGAAACGTGTGTAAGTCAAATTGAAGCTGCTCAATATAAGGTTTGGCAACCTGCCTATCTTTTTTTGAGAAATTAGAGATAAAATTACTAAAGATCAGAGAAGTATTTGCGACATCTTGCATTTGCATATTTCTTTTGTTGGAATAGGTGTGTAGTTTACAATTGTAGCTAAGAATTTGACAGAATAGATGGTGTATATAATGAAACACGACAGCATTGTGGAGATTGGCATCTGTTTTTATTTTCATTTCACAAAACTTTGCAGAATTATAAAGACTTTATGATATTACTATTTATATTAGTGTGTCTCATCAGTTGTAATAAAAAGATGAGAGATGTTATACTTTGATTGTCTTAATGCAAGAACTGTGGAATAATTGTGAAGACAATGATAGTGGGGAGGTTTAAATGTTTCAGATTTTACAATGTGAATAATTTAAAAATACAATTAAGAAAAAATAAATAAATAAGCTGATGAATGAATGATTGAATAAATGGTTAATTGAAAATTACTGTATGTTTATGAAAATGAATTGTTTATTAGTGCTTTTCAAACAAAAAAATAAGTAATTTCCAAAAAAGTGAAATTAATTTAAAAAAAAAGTTTTATATAACAATAAATTTTTAACTATAGATCAGTTTCCTCTATAGATATCTACATTCCTTGAAAATAATCAATAGTTTTTTCAGCACAATTTAAATTATAAACTATGAATTTATAAAAACTAAAATTTCTAATTTCTAGTGTTCTGTATTATATATCCGTGCAGGAATGTTCGACAACTCGTCCTATTTTAAGGTTTTTTCTATGTTATTTCATTATTCATGACTTACATTCTTACAGTCAGGTATTATGACTTACTTTAGTCATTAACATATTAAAGTTTCCCCTGATGAGTTTGACAAGATTTAAGGGTACATAATAATTCAGAAATATCACTGTCAGAAAGAAGTTATTATTTAGAGCCACATTTCATTCATAAACTGATGTCATGTTACCTAGTTATGTTGATGAACTGCTTCCTGTAGAATTTGAAGATTGATTCCTATATATCAAGTAAACAAACGTTTTTGAGCCCATCCTTCTCAAATGTAAATGCAGGAAAAAATGTTGCACTATGCAAAGTGTCTATACTAATATGTCTGTTGGTTGGCAGCTCTTGTGATATTTTATTTATACCTTACTAACAATGGGTGGTTTAGACTGTGGTGTTTTGGTTCACTTGGAACAATTTTTTTACATTGGAATAAAAATAATTTTGTTTGTATTCAATTTTAAAGCAGGAGAGAACTGACTAGTTTTGACAAGACTTCCTTTATAATCCACTTTCATATATGTCTGCTTTTTCTGAAAACAGAGTGAGTATTTCCAATTTTGCTTAGTTTCTGAAAATAGAGAATAATGACACACTTTTAGTAGTTATCAAAGCCATAAGTAAGTCTATGAAAATACAAACTACCTAAAGTTGTGGTCTACTGGTTTATGCTTGTCTATAGTGCAATGAGTTGTGGGTTTGATCCTGGGGTTGGTCAAATTAGTATTTGCTACTTCATTGCCAAACACCCTACTTTTAAAAGTAAGGGCAAAGACCTCTTTGAGTCTAAATAAGTTAATACGTCTTCCTGCTGACAGTTACCTAGTGAGCTAGCAGTTAAAAAAAACAACTCAGTGTATTGGTCTAGTGAAAAGCATGTATGTATTCATATTTTGTTAACATGATAATGTAATGTTTGCCACTGGACAATAAGCCAACATCAATCAATTATTCAATCTGAAAAAAAAAACTTATTTACGAAACGGACAGTTGATTACATAATAATTTTCTGATTTTATCCATATAACCTTTTAAAATATGAACTTAATCCCAATGTGTTAACACTGATACACATAGTTTGGTCTTAAATAGTCTAGTCCAAGGGCTATTTAGCTGGTCTAAAGATAAGTGTACCCAGATCTAGTCCAAGGGCTATTTAGCTGGTCTAAAGATAGTGTACCCAAACCTAGTCCAAGGTCTATTTAGCTGGTCTAAAG